TGCCACTGCGTTTTAGGAAAGGCGAAACTGCCAGGGATTATGTATATTATCAAAAATCATACGCCCAGTTTCACATGGCAACGCCTTTTCCCAAAGAATTTCGAGGATGTGCAAACAACTCCATTTTACCGTTACATTATTAATCCAGCGAGGCTGGTAGAATATGGGTAATATTATACAGTCATGGTCACGCAACTGTTCATAAGGGGTATTTTGAATTTTAAGAAACACGATAGCTTGGAGATACACAAATAGTTTGGGTCGGATCAACTTTTCATCTGATTTCAAATTTGCCTTACCGAGGTGGCTGTGTATTCTTCATGCCGTATCAGTCATTGCCGAGAAGCATTTTGAACACTGAAGCCCTCTAACAAAAGCAGAGAATGGTCAGCTAATGTGTTTTGGGGGTAAACATTTTGAATAACACAATCAAATAAAATGGCTTAACACTGCTCAGGGTGAGCTCTGAAAGGTTCAGCTTTAAAAGGCAGAAGGAGCCTTATCGGCTCCCCTTCAGATTTCGAAATGCACAAATTAGAGCGATAAACGCTTTTAATCGCTTTTAACGTTGAACGCTTTTAACAGTTGGCTGAAAGACTTACAATTTTTCACTAAAAAAAAACACACTATCGGTCAGGTCATACCACAGGTCATCACAAATAAAATCTTCTGGAGATAGTAGCTTTTCGTTTTGGCATATAACTAATGAACTAAGAAAATTCAGACTCAAAACTGGCATCACCAAAAATGATGTTTCTCTCATTAAGGTAGTTTAAAATATGCTTTTTGTGACTTTACTAAGTGAAGTCCAACATTTGACAAGAGGTCGAGGGTCGTTCATAACCCAAGAAGGTAATGTTGCATAACAATCGACGCGTGATGACCAGGCAAGCAGTTTGGAGCTACCTACAACTCCTAAGGACTTCTTCTTGTGTGGTCGGCTCCATCGAGTGGATGCAATGCTTAGCCTTTTATCAGTTCAACACTTTAACACTACGTCACAGGCGCCAGAGAATCGAGGGATGGTCATAGAAGAATGAGCTTAAGGAGGTCCTGCTGCTTCACCACACTTCTCGGTAGCACTGCTCCAGTTCTCTTCTGTATCTCTTCTCTTGCTTGTAGTAGCTCGATACATTCATAGAGAAAGTGCTCCAGGGTCTCAAGCCCATCTTTACATAGAGGACAGATGCCCTGTTCCTTTTTGTGTTGCCTGACTTTTCCTCCCGCCACCAGGGAATGTCCAGTAAGTAGTTTGATCTTAATGGCCCAGTCTACCTACTGCGCTCTATCCGCTGGCTGGCCAAAACTAGTCAGGGGGTTGTAGCAGTCCAGCTAGTAGCAACAGATGCTTCATCCAGTGTAGGCTTCTCATGCTAGACGCTACCTTCCGGTATTCCTCTTCAGTGTGGTGCTGTGTATAGCGTGGTTCAAAGCTTTGCTCCAACCTCTTTCTTCCTGAGGAGTCGAGACATCAATCACTTGAGTCAGTGTTGGGAGTCCTTGGTCTGCTAACATTTCCTCCCATTGCCGAGCTAGGCTGCTCCGGCGATCCTCATTCACCGCACCGTGTAGCGATATACAAGGGGGGGGCAAAAATGTCCCTCCCCCCAGGCCCCACCGCGCGGAAGGTGGCCGGGAGGCCCACCGCCTGCCGGGTTAAGGCGTGACTGCAAAATTTACTGAGGTGGATTTTTTCTGAGGTCACGCTTCTGGTGACCTTACCTGACCTAGTTTTTCCTTCTTTTTTTGCCGGTATGTGCACAATGAATATTAAGAAAAAGTTGCGGAGTATGAGCTAAAAAAAGTATCGTGGCATTTGACAACGGCATAAGAAAAACTTAAATAGGGGGCCTTTTCGGTCCCTTCCCGCCCGGAAGTAGGTTAATAGAAATTTGAAGAATTCGTGCGGGCACTTCGGCAATGCTTTTTAACAGCCTATATCCGTATTCATAAATACAGATCGATTATTTTGACGCTGGCAGTCAACCACTTAACACCTGGAGGGCCGTACGGCGTAGGGGAAGATGGGGTAAGACGGACCAGCTAAGGTTTGAGGCCGCATATCTTGCTACACTGCTCTCGTAATTCATATTATTTATAGTCTTCGGAATGCTCAATCCTTCCTCTGTTGATATGTGTAAAGACTAAATTTCAAATTAAAGACATCTAGGTAGTGGATGCTCTTAACCCGGCAGTTGCTGGGGTATTCCGCCACCCACCGTTTGCTGGGGGGGGGGGGGGGCGTTAAACGCCCCCAGCCGATAACTCGAGAACCAATAGGCGCAGCGAAACGCACGAGGCGGCAAACGAAAGAGCGCGACGAGACGCTTCAGATGAGTACTTTAAAGTTGAATTTTGAGGTCACAGGTCGGGTCAAGGTCAGGTCAAACACCTGAAATCGGGCTTTCAATAGCATGGACTTCAGGACTTCGCAATGGGCGCCTCTCGCCATAAACTCTGTCAAAACGGTGCACAATCCATCTTATAAGGCCTACAAGAGTGTCAGCTCCATATAGGGGTCAGTCAAGCATAGGTCAGGGTCAAGGTCAGGTCAACCGGGTAGGCACATATCCCCGAAAATCAAAACTGATATTCGCAGCCTGTGACACATGTTTTATAGGTAATTTTGGGCGTAGAACACGATGGTGACATTCATTTTATCATATGTGTACGTGTTTGGATCACTAAGTTCAATTTAAGAAATTCATGTATCATGGTCGTGAAGTAGTCACGAAAAATTGCCAGGATTCAGTTCAAAATTTTGGAAAATACGGAACGATAATCAAAAATCGAAGATAGCCATTTGATTGATCATGGTATTGGCAGTCAAATGACGGTTACGGCATGTCTGTATGTCTTTTCTGTGATTTTATATGATTTTTTGAACATATGCCGTTTTTGGTCGAAAACTCAGAAATCATGACGTCACTAAAACCTCGATATCTCAAAAATTTTCCGACCGATTTTTTTTTTTGAAACTTTGTCACAATAAGCTTCAATCGATTCCCTACAGGTACCCAAAATTTGGCGCGGCGAAAAAAGTGGGGGCGTTTAACGCCCCCCCAGCAACTCGCGGGTTAAAGAGGGACATGTCAAAAACTCAGACAAGAAAAAACGTGGGGTAAGACGGACCACCCAGCAGTGCCTGCTATCCGTTCATGTGTGTTACACTTCTGCTCTGTACTCTTGTAACCAGAATGGTAAAATAACAAAATGAGCCTTTATTCTTTACTCATGTGTGATGGAAGTGCAGCTAAAAGCTGGGAACATGTGTGTTGATTGTCGTTTGGCATGAATGCATGCTAACTGAGCACTTTCATGCATGGCTCACATGCAACAAAGACTCCTTCCTGAAAAATTAGCTTACTTAAACTTGTGTCAATGTTTTGGAAAGAAAAAAACTTTCCATATGCAGGGTACAATGGACCACCACAGGGTAAGATGGATCACAGTGGTCCGTCTTGCCCCAAATCTAAATTCTGTCATTATCATGACGTATATGTCAAATAGCCCAACATTGCAAAACCTTGCCTTTCCTAAAGTGTGACTATAACTATGTTTATAACTTTGTTCTTCACAGTAAAGTGCAATATAGAAACTAATCATGATAGAAAGGCGCCGTAATTGAATCACCCGTAGACCTCTTATATTAGATCGGTTTGACGAAAAACAACATTTTTCTAAATAACTCAAAAGCTATGCGTCCTAGCAGCATGAGCTCAAGGTGGCCATTGTTACGAAGGAAAACAAACATACAGCCGGGAGGGCTGGTGGTCCGTCTTGCCCCGCTGGGCCGTCATACCCCACCTTCCCCTACCATATTTTGGAGTGTAAATTGTAATAAAATGTGCCAAGAAAAAATTTCACCAACAATAATAAATTATGCGCAGCCGTAAGTATTCTTAGTTTCGATATAACAAAATTATTAATAAACCAATGAATTTCTAAGTCACACAACGTTGTGTTTTTGTGTTTTTTATATCATGTGACGTTCATATCCTTAAAAATAATAATACTTATAACTTCAGTGATCAGTCGGACCGGCATGGGGAGACATAAAGCTTTTATGTGGTGTTGGTTGATTGCTGAGGACAAGAGGTTGTGCTATTTTGTGTGTTGTCATCTCATCTTTGTTGCAGTCATTGCGGTGACGGACTGTGCCACTAGGGCATGGCTTTAGTGTGCGTTGTGCCACGCTCGCGCTGGCTGGTCAGAGCCGGCGCGGGGCGGTGACCTCTGACCTGACCTCGCCGGAGGCGCTGTGACGTCACCAGCACTGTGGACGGCCGCGCGCCGGCAGACAGAGCCTCATTCCAGGCACAGCGACCGAGCGGGTCGGAGCGGGCTGCGGCGGATGTGGCCGCATTGCTGCGAGCGTGCTCCGCCACGCGCCCCATCCAGCCATAAGGGTTACTTCTAAAACTTTTTCAGTTTTGGCCAAGGCGTTTTGGCCTTCAGGCTCGCCTGACGGTTTATTGCTTCCGATCTTTTAGTGATTGTTTAATGTTTATATGGTAGATATTGCCTGACGCGGTCAAGAGTTAATGTTAAGCAGCGTTGATTCTCTGCCTTTCATTGTTTCGATAAGAAAAGAAAAACTGGGTGAGAAGATTGCGCTTCTTTCTGCATTCTGGATTTTGTTTTCCGTATTTACATAGCCGACTGCAGGCCGGGTATTCTGGGCAGTTAGCTTTCGAGTCAATGCACTACTGTCCCCGTCGCATAGGCCTCTGTCTCTCCTACCTCCACCCCAATCTCTCGAAAAGGATTCCATGTCATGTAGCTCCCTTTAGTCCACCTGAGGTGGCCTGCAGTTGACAGCAGCGCCATCTCTTTGTTCATTGCGCCCAACTTAGGGCGCCCTCTGTGGAACGCATTCTCAACACCACACCGCATACAGGAAAGGATCCATTGAAAGAAGGACCGGTCAAGTCATTACCTTCTAAACAGTTCTGGAAGCGATTGAAGACTACCCGAGCGAATGAGCCTGGTGGACTTACCTTGGTCGATCCACTCTTCAATGTCCTGTTTTGTTCCTTTGTCTGGCAGCGTGGTTTTCTTTTTGTCCATTTCGTCGTGTGCTGTCCTTCCCAACCTTGACCTGTTCAGAGATGCTCTGAAAAAAAAAAATGCAGGCACCGATTGTCTGATTTGGATCCAGAATTCGGCACCTATATTTCCAATAATGTGCATTCATCGACGAAAAACGGGATTGACGTTACGAAGGATGTCCCCAGTTTTGAGCTTAGCTGGGCATGAATCGTTTGAATGATAGGGAAAGGAAGGCTTCAAAAAAAAAAATCCGGACAATGGGCATCGGTGCCAGACATAAACGTAGGTCACTAGTATTGGGACTCTGCCTGCCGCTGCTCCAATCACAGTTTTACATTCGCAATGTTGACACTAGTTTTCACTCTGCAATAGAAATTTTGGAGTTGTTTGACAATTGACACTCACCGAAAATTGCAGGCTGACAAATCGTCTTCAATTAGTTCCGATCCGTATCACTTCACTAGCCACAGCACAGTTCCTATCAAACTTCCAATCCCCGACTCTTATCTCCTGCAATACAAAGCCATTACCATGACAACACAGTAACACTGCCGTTACCCGACGCGGACCAGACGTAGCCGGCGGCTATGGGCGTCACGTGACCACGCACCAACGGAGATCTCGGCCAATCAGCATCCAGAAGCGCGTCTGAGCAGATGTCGCCGGCGCGAAGAAAAAATTGAAACAACTCTTCGCCACTCGCCACTCGTGTTGGGTCGTTCGTCACAGGGGGGGTCCGTCCCTTTACCGGGCCATAGGAGGAAAATTGCTACCAAATGCTGCCAATGTGACGTCACTGGGATGGTCGAAAGCTGATTGGTCGCTGAGATTCAGGCGATGCTGTCAATTCTGGCGCACCGGCGCAGTGTTTTCCAGCCGTTGCGTGTTAAAGTTTAAAGTTAAAGTTAAAGTTTAAGAAATCAAGGAGGTGCCGATACAAAGGCTAAACCTCCGAAAACCATCGCATCGCATCGCATCGTATTGTTATACGGAGTTTAAATATTGTTTATTTGATAATAATATCACTGTTTATGTGTTTGAAGATCGGAAAAGCATACACATAAGTGGCATTCACACACTTGTCGTCTCAGAGATCATGAAGAATGACCAGCTTTAGCAGTTCAGCTCAGGTATTCAATTAATTCAACTGTATAAGCATGAGTATCATAGGCAGATCAGCCACGTTTCAGTTCAACCCGGTTTCACATTTTTTTTGTCATTTTTGGCTTTTAAAGGGAGCATGATAAACTCATATTAAGTTGTAAAATGCCTTAGCATTGTTGAAAACATAATGAGAAGGAGAATGGAGATGGAATAGTTGTAAATTGTTTCGGAAGTGGCTAGCTTCTATAAATATTAATGCTTTGTGAAAATAAAACTTATTTGTCAAATTAAATAGTATCAAATAACAAATCAATCTATGCTTACCTCCCAGACTGGAAAAAAATTCACACACTGTCAGATGCGTCAGGGCCCAGGGGCTTTCGGGTCTCAAAATTCAGCGCAAGTGATTTCTCACCAAAATTTTGGCACATCTTTTGTGCAAAGTTGAAGCTCATTGTTACTTCTTTTCAATATTAGTTGTTGCCAGATTTTATAATCTGTATCTAAACTTTCAAATTTTGGATGCAAATTTTGAATTTAAAAGGATTTCTGACATGCTTATTGCTGAAAATCCCATTCTTGTTTATGTAAATGTTATGTAATTGACATTTGCTAACTAAACAAGCTCATCCTTGTCTAATGTCTATATATTGGTTTCTATTTATACCACCTGTGCTACTACTAATTTCTATTTGTTGAGACTATTTACCTAATGCATTTGCTTCATATGATTTTATACGCAGACGCACCTGTGCATGGAACAGTAATGCCAGACCCAAATTCAAAATATTATTGAAAAATTGTGTTATTTGCTTGTTGCACCTGAATTCTGAGTCAGGCCTGCAATCAATACATAAATATAAAATAGGTACATGTTTTGAGGCTTCATATCAGCACATAGAAAAGGCAATCGAAGAAAAGGCACCTTTGGGCATTGATTATTTTTGCTTGCCATCGCCTAGTCAATTTTTTAATGTTGCATTGTGTTAATAAACTTGGTAATGTGTTTTGCAGGTCCGGGGCTGGTCCTCTGGCGTGCAGGACGGCGAGGAGTGGCTACCTGCACATAACAACACAATGACTGGCACCGAGCTGAGGGCATAAAATCACATCATATCGACTTCAGCATCTGTCTCCCAACTTTGGAGACGTCGCCCGACTCCCGAGTCCCTGAGTGGCGAGCGCCAGTTTCCGAAAGGAAGTTGAGGAAGGAACCCGAAAGCACCCGCTGGGCTGCCGACACTCCTGCGCTGCCAGCAGGGCGTGCTGCGCAGTAAAGCCTCGCTGCGTGGTCTGTACGACATCCGACACCGGCACCCAGACGTGCAGTTTCTGATGACATCCCACCTCAACCAGGGCTGCCCCGAGAATCTGCTAGTGCTGACTGCCTGCTGCTGAGGCCGACCTGCCGACGACCTGCCGGACCTGTTGCCGCCCTGGTGAGCCTGAGCCGCCCTGGGACTTCCCGCCGCGTCTACGCTGCCGCCCTGGTGAAACTGCCGTCGCCCTGCCGAACCTGTCGCCGCCCTGGTGAGCCTGCGGCCGCCCTGGACCTGCTGCCACCCCGGCGGACCTGCCGCCGCGTCTACGCTTCCGCCCTGGTGCTGCCGTCGCCCTGCCGGACCTGTCGCCGCCCTGGTGAGCCTGCGACCGCCCTGGGACCTGCTGCCACCCCAGCGGGCCTGTCGCCGCGTCTACGCTGCCGCCCTGGTGAAACAGGTCCGTCGTCGCCCTGCCGGACCTGTCGCCGCCCTGGTAAACCTGCTGCCGACCTGTCGCACCTGCCACCGCACTGGTGAATCTGCTGCCGACCTGCCTGACCTGTCGCTGCCGTGGTGAACCTGTTACCGACTTGCCGGACCTTCCTCGCCGCCTTGACGAGCTTGGGGAGCCTGTGCTGAGGTGCCACCGCTCTGTTTCACGTGTTATGTTGCACGGTTCCTGGCTGTCGCGGAGTCAATCGGCACATTGTGTTTGGAGAGGCGACATCTTGTACAACTTTCCGACAGTTCGGAGCATTTTATTGTACCTACTCAAGTCGTAAGAGATTAGGCTTGTGCCTTATTTGTCCTCTACCAATCTGTCCAATGTGGTTTTTTATAACTACGATTTATGGTATGACATAAACCGGTATATTGTGTACGCATTTGGTTCGTTCCAGTCAGAAGTTTGGAATGTGTACATATACTTGTGTTACGGTACAATTTCGGTTTGTGCAGTTCACACAACCTCTCTTAATTATGGGGCGAAATAGACGCAAAACCAGGGCTGCGGAGTCGGAGTCAGGGTCGACAGTTCTGACCGGACTCGGAGTCGATTTTGGAAACCGAGTCGGAGTCGGGGTCACCGAAAATCCATCGGCTCCGCCAGGGCTGCGGAGTCGATGGATTTTCGGCGACTCCGACTCCGACTCCGACTCCGGCTTTAAAAAACCAGCTCCGACCACCGACAGCCACCGAGTCGACAAATCCGGGCAGAATTGTAGACTCCGACCGACTCCAACTCCCGACTCCGACTCCGCAGACCTAGCAGAGCTGCGGAGTCGACATATTTTCGATGACTCCGACTCCGACTCCGGCTCGGGTTTCTAAAATCGACTCCGACTCCGGCTCCGCAGCTCTGGCCGCTCCGCAGATCTGGCAGGGCTGCGGAGTCGGAGTTAGAGTCGGTAGGAGTTGATTACCCAGCCCGGAGTCGGAGTCGGAGTTGGTTTTTGGAAGTCGCGGTTGGAGTCAGAGTCACCAGAAATCCATTGACTCCGAAGCCTCGCGCAAAACTATGGCGATTTTCATCTCCGAGATAGACGCCGATGTGCTGGCCGGATATCCGGCGGGGCGCACGTTGGCTCGGTCCGATCCCAATAATGTCGCCAAATCTTTGGTTCGAGTAACAGCTGGTCCTGATTTGCTTCACTGAGGAAACATCACACCGTTCTGCCTTGCATCGGACATCAAAACTGCACTAAAATCCGCTGAAAACGTATTTAAACGTCCGTCCTCCATAATGGCTACGGACGGCGGCCGGCGAGTTACCATCCCAGTGACGTCATTCGGGCCCGGTAGGGGGACGGTAAAAAAAAGCCTGATGACCATACCTGGTTATATGGCCTTGGTTCGTCAGCTGTACGCTGTCCACTGCATGATCGAATTTAGTCATGCATGTTAGGAGAGTGCAAATCAAGTACGAATTACGATAGTTGGTCGACAGCGTTTACTGCAAATTGGGAAGGGGGCGGTTAGTCATTCCTTGATCGGCAAGGGCTCCGCATGGATTGAAAGTTGTCTAAAGCTGTGGTCGGGCGCTCGTTTATATCCTGCATGCACTGCAATAGGTACAATCAGTATGTTGAATATTTGGTTGGCCCCTTGGCTCTCCTACGGTTCTATAGCCACCGTTATGTCGATTATCTTGTTTTGCATGCTGTTGTAAGCATAGACAGCATGGTAATCATAATTGTTTGTGACCAACATATTCTTACCTCCACAAAGACCTGTGCAACCAAGTGGCCAGCCGAGCGTAGAGCGAACCAGAGGAGGGAACCGGCAGGGCGCTGTGACCGCCGCGCCAGGGAGCACGGTCTGAGCGGCACCGGCGGTGGTACAGCCCCGACCGCCTCCGCACGATATGGGTGCGTGTGTGTCCGTGTGCGCGTGCGCGTTGGCGAGATAGTCATAATCCTGATAGACATAAAATATACTTGGACTAATGTGAGCCAAAAAAAAAAAATACCATTCATGCCTGGCCTTACTGGAGTGTGTCAAAATGTATTTAATTTGCGAAGGAAAGACCCGGGATTGGCCGCCGCACCGCGAGCACTAGCCACGTCATATTGGATCACGCAAGTTGGAGCTGCTTTTCAGAAGCCATTGCTGGTGGTAATAAAGCTCCCACTTCTCTTTTCAACTTGCAAACGCCCCTGGCACTGCCACTTCTTTGGTTCTTCCTCCCGCGATTCCTCTTTCTTCGTCTCCGACTTCCGCAGCCTCCTCCTTGTTTTCACCGGTCCTGCCCAGGACTGCTGAGTGGCTGCCGGCAGATCCCACAGTTTTTGGAGCTCCTTCAGGGAGGCTTCTGCCAGCAACCACTCGTTCTTCATGGCTGTCGGTCGAATGGAAGGGCTGTCACCAGCAGAACCGGGAGCGACCTCCCTCATCATGAACACCGGTCCATCGTCTCAGCTCCGACGACCAACTGGCCATTTATCTTTCACTGGCCACCGCCCTCCGACACTGCCGCTTCTTCGGCTGTTGCTCCCGTTCTTTCCCGTTCTTTTTCAACTGCAGCTTTTGTAACTACTTTACCATCACCGGTAGGCCCAGGAGGACTGTTTAGTGCCTTCCGGCAGAACCAAAAGTTCTAGAGCTCCTTCAAGGAGATTTTCGCCGAGAATCGCTTACTTTTCATGGTCGTCGGTCGGTCTATTCGGATGGAAGGACTGAATTCCAACTGCGGTGTGCGATGTCCGCTCGGTGTCTCGTTTGTGCTGGAGTCATTCACACTCAGGCAGTAGGTATATAGGAATCTGAAATGGAAGCACAGGCGATACTCCATAAATTATTTCATACCTTCGCTCTTCGGTCAC